CAGGAGGATGAGGACGATGAGGAGGAGGAGGAGAAGGAGGAGAAGGAGGAGATGAAGGAGGAGGATGATGACGAGGAGGACGTCTGGTGTTGCCTTCGCGGGTGGCCTTCAGCCTAGCGCGTGCGCGCGAGCAGGACCAACCGACCGAGGCCCCCGAAAGTCTTCCGACAGGCCTCCGAAAAATACCCGAAAGGTCTCCAGATGACCTTCGCAAGGCTTCTGGAAAGCCTCGCGGGAAGCTTCCGAGAGGCTCCCAGGAGGGCCCTGAAAGGCGCGCACGTGCGCGTGAGCCGCAGCCGCCACGCGAGAGCGGCCTGGTCCTGGGCCGCATCATCTCAGCCGCCGCCGCCGCCCCCGCCGTCGTCGTCGTCGTCGTCGTCGTCGTCGCCGTCGTCGTCGTCGTCGTCGTCGTCGTCGTCGTCGGCGTTGGCGTCGTCGTCGGCGTTGGCGTCGGCGTCGGCGTCGTCTTCGTCGTCGCCGTCGCCGCCGCCGCCGCCGCCGCCGCCCGCCGCTGGGCCGCCGTCGTCGACGTCGTCGTCGTCGTCGCTTCCCGCCGCCGCCCGCCGCCGCCACCGTCATGGTGTGCTGGGCGTCCCGCAGCACTGCAGCCGCCCGCGCCGCGCGCGCGCGATGGTGTCGCCGTGCGTGGCCGAGCCGCCGCCGCCTCCAGAGGCGTCCCGCCGAGGTCGTCGTCGTCGTCGTCGTCGTCGTCGCATCGTCGTCGTCGTCGTCCTCCTCCTCCTCCTCTGAATTTTTCGGGCGCGGGTTTTGTCCTTGAGCTGACGCCCGGCGCCCCCCTAACGTTCTCTTATCTGTGCCCGTGAGGTCGAGGCCACGGCGCCTCCCGCACCCGCCGGTTTCGAGGATCGAGGATCGATGTTCGAGGATCGAGGGTCGACGCAGTCCGCCTGGGCTGGGACAGCTTCAGACTTCGAGATGCAGCGAGTGACGCCTCCCCGTGGCACCTAAGAGTGTGCCATGCATGTTTGCTCGCTGACCTGCCAGTACGAACGCCCACGGGCGGCCACAGCCTGCGGCACGAGCGAGTGGATCGAAGATCGAGGTTTTCGGAAGATTCTGGCGGAGGCCCAACAGAGGCCTCCGCAGGCTGTCGAGGTTCGAGGTTCCAGGTTCGAGGTTCCAGGCCTCTTGTCGGGCCTCCAGGGAGGCATCTGGGAGGCCCGGGAGGGGCCTCCCCAGGAGGTCGAGCGAGGTTTTCTTGGAAGCTTCTGCCCCTCTGCTGAGCCCCCGGTGGTTCTCGGAGGCCCAGCAGAGGCCTCCGTGGGAGGTTCGAGGAGAGAAGGAGATGTTCAGGCCCCATTCGCTCCCATCCTGGGCTTCCGGGGACCTCCAGGAAGGGGGGGGGGGGAGCGGGGAAGGAGTGGGGAGGGGGATGGGAGGGGTGGAAAGGGAGTTCAAGAGTGGTCTACGCACCCTTTTTGTTGGGCCTCCTGGGCGGCCCTTTTCGACACGGCCAGCTTTCTCCTCCAATCCCTGGTCAGAAAGTGCTCTGGCACAGGCCCAGAGCTTCATGTGGAGGGGGAGGGACTCGACAGGGAGTCGCTAATAGTGATTGTACGTATGTATGTAATGCAAGGCAAGGCAAGGCAAGGCAAGGCAAGGTAAGGTAAGGTAAGGTAAGGTACTGGAATGTAATGTAAAAGTATTGCAAGGCATTGTAATGCTATGTAATGTAGCATCATGTAACACAAAGTTGTGTACTGTAAAGTAATGTAATGTTATGCAATGTAACGTTTTGTGATGTAATGCAATGTATTGTACTGCAATGTAAGTGTAGTGTACTGTAAGGCAATATAATGTGATGTAGTGTATTGTGATGTAGGTAATGTGATGTATTGAAATGTAATATAATGCAACACGATGTAATGCCATGTGATGTAATGTGCGTGTGCGTGCATGCATGCATGCATGTATGCATGCATGTATGCAAGTACGTAGTTATGTCTGCATGTATGCGTGCATCTACATATATATATATATATGATATGTGTATGTATATGGATGTACGTGTGTGTATGAATGTATGTATGTATGTATGTATGTATGTATGTATGTATGTATGCATGCATGTATGCATGTATGTATGTATGTATGTATGTATGTATGTATGTATGTATGTATGTAGGTGTGTGTGTATGTATGTATGTATGTATGTATGTATGTATGTAGGTAGGTAGGTAGGTCGGTAGGTAGGTCGGTATGTATGTATGTATGTATGTAGGTAGGTAGGTAGGTAGGTAGGTATGTATGTATGTATGTATGTATGTATGTATGTACATATATATATATATATATATATATATATTCCTGGGCACGAGGCGGGAAGGCCGAGGAGGGGGCCCCCGACGCGCCATGGGGGGACGGGGCGCCTGGGACACTTCTAGACGGCCGAAGACAGCCCCAACACAGATGAAAAGGGTCACGAGAGGCCTCCAAGAGGCCTGCTGTCGCGGAGCTGCCGCTCTAACACGCCCAAGACGGCCTTCAGATGGCCCACCAGGCGTCCAACACGGCCCCAGGGGTTTCCAAGAGCACTCCCACAAGGGCTCCAAGAAGCCAAAAGCAGTGATTTTCTTAAGGATTGTGATACATTTCAGCGTCTCTGCCTGTTCAGCTTCCCGACGCTCCAAGACGGTCCCGGACACCCAAATATCGCCCCAGCAGGCCCCCACGAGGGCACCGAGACGGCCCAGGGCCGCCCCCAGATGGCCCAAGAAAGCCGCAACACAGATGAAAAGGGCCGCGAGAGGCGTCCAAGAGGCCTTCTGTCACCGAAATCTCATTCCAAGGCGCCCCAGATGGCCTCCAGATGGCCCACAAGGCGTCCAACACGGGCCAAGGGGTCTCCAAGAGCATTCCCACAAGGGCCCCAAGAAGCCAAAATCTTTGATAAGGCTCTTGGTGCATTTTAGCGATTCTGCCTGTTCCGCTTCCCGACGCTCCAAGACGGTCCCGGACACCCAAATATCGTCCTAACAGCCTCCCACGAGGGCGCCGAGACGGCCCAGGGCCGCCCCCAGACGGCCCATGGCAGCCCCAACACATATGAAAAGGGTCACGAGAGGCATTGAAGAGGACTCGAAACGCGGACATATCATTCCAACACGCCCAATATGGCCTCCAGATGGCCCACAAGGCGTCCAACACGGGCCAAGGGGTCTCCAAGAGCACTCCCACAAGGGCCCCAAGAAGCCAAACTCATTGATTTTTTCAGGAGGTTTTCGGTATATTTCAGCGTTTCTGCCTGTTCAGCGCCCCGACGCTCCAAGACGGCCCTGGGTACCTAAAACCTAAAAATCGTAAAAATCGTCCCAACAGGCCCCTACGAGGGCGCCGAGACGGCCCAGGGACGGCCTGCCGCGGGGCCCGGGACGGGGCCTACGGGGCCCCCGGGGGCCCTGCCTTGGCGCCACGGGCTTTTTAACATTGCCTGAAGACGGCCCAGGATCGCCAGAAATGGCGTTTCCAGACTGCGAAAACGACCAATGACGGCCCAAGATCACTCCAGAATTGGCGCTTGATTGTCCAAGAGGTTTCCAAGAGGCGCCAGAGGCCTCCAAGATGTCCCCCAGGGAACCCCAGGAGGCACATGTTTTGTTTTGTTTTTGTTTGAAGGTATTCGAGTTCTCGCCTTTCAGTTTCCCGACGCTCCACGACGGCCCAAGAGGCCACAATGTCCGCTCCAAGACAGCCCCAGAGGCCTCGAAGATGGCCACAAGACAGCCCAAGACGGCTCCAAGACGGCGCCAGAGGCGCCCAAGACGGCCCGAGAGGGCCTCAAGACGGCCTCAAGAGGGAGCCAAGAGGGGTAACACGAACCGAACATCCGGGCCTTCACCCCGAGAGGCTCCCAGGAGGCCCCGAGAAGCCCCCAACAGGCCCCCAAAGGGCCCCAAGAAGCGCCCCAGGGGGCCGAAGAGGTTCCGAGAGGCTTCCCAAGAAGGCCACAAGAGGCAAACATCAATGTCTTGCCATCGGTTTTGATTGATTTTCGAGGTTTCAGCCTTTAGGCGTCCCGACGCTCCAAGACGGCCTAAAAGGCCTCCAAGACCGTTCCAAGATAGCCCAAGAGGCCTCCAACAGGGCGCCAAGACGGCACACGAGGGCCCCAAGAGGGTGCCTGAGGCGCCCAAGACGGCCCGAGAGGACACCAAAAAGGCCCCAACAGGGGCCCAAGAGGGGTGGAAGGCGACTCGAAAATCCGAGCCTTCCACCCCGAGAGGCTCTTGGGAATCCAAAAGAGGCCCGCAATAGGATCCAACAGGTCCTCAAGAAGCTCCCAGGCCCTAAGACACCACAGGCCCCAAGACACCACAGGCACCAGACACCACAGGCCCCACAGACAACCCATACACCACAGGGCCCACAGGCACCACAGGCACCACAGGCACCCCAGGCACTACACGCCCCAGGGGCACTACAGACACCACAGGCACCACGAACACCACAGGCACCCGAGGCACCACAGGCATGACAGGCACCACAGGGACCACTGGAACACTGTCCCATGGAAGCGGTGCCACAGGCCCCACAGACACCCGCCACAGGCCCCACAGACCCCACAGACAGACATCACAGGCACCACAGGCGCCACAGACACCACAGGCATCACAGGCACCACGCACTCGAGACACCACAGGCGCCACAGACACCACAGGCACCACAGAGCACCTTCTGCCTCCCAGGGTGCGGTCTTGGAGACCGTCGGTCCCTTCTCAGAAGCCCTCCGCGTGCTGATTCTCTCTCGTCCGTATGGACGGCCTCCCTGATGATACATCTGGGGCCCATCCGGGCCAGTTTTTCGAGCTGCGTCCATCGGGTTCCACGAGGGACGCCCGGGAGGGCAAGCCATGTCAAAATCCAGAGGAACACTTTTTTTCCTGCCTCGTTCCCTGCCCCCGTTGGCGCGCTGCCAAAGTATCATAATCAGCAGCATCGTCGTCACCGTCCGTGGCCTTCTTGGTATCTTTCCTCGGGCTATTTCGGCTCCAGCCTCCGCGTTATGTCCGCTGATGCTCTGGGGGCTTCCGCAGGCGCTGGAGCTCGTGCCACATGAGGCGCTTGGGCTTTGCTGCGTGTTCGCTCCGTCTCGGTCTCCGCCTGGGCGCCGCGCATGGAACCCCCGTGTGTCACGCTGCTGATGCCGGAAGCCAGAAGAAGGCACGCTTACCCAAGTCTCGGACGTCAGTGCTCTGTTTCTCCGCTGGCGCCAGACCCCCTCCCCGCACCCCCGGGTCGGCGCCTTCGGGGCGGCGTGTCAAGGGCGCTCACCTCGGGCGTCCGAAGTTGAGGTTCAATGATGTCTTTCATTGTCTTTCTCTGGCCTCCGATGATGGGAGCGAGCAGGAGTGCGAGGACTACACATATTGAGTAGGAGATCGACTGCAGAATCGATTTGCCCCAAAACGGATTTACCCGTCGAGTCTACGAGAGATGCACAGAATGCTCCGTAGATCTGTGGAACTATCCACGCATCTGTCACAGATTCGATGGCAAAATCAATTTGGGGGTAAAACAACGCTGCCGTCGATCCCCTGCTCTGGCATACGCGGGCTCTCTCGTCGAAGAGCTGCCCCCGAGGCAGCAGCTGTCGGAGGCGCTGGCGGTCCACGAGGAGCTGCGGCGGGTGCCCGGCCCGGACCAGGGGCTGGAGGAGTGCGAGGATCGGGAGCCCCCAAACGGTGTAGTGGCCACACACCGTGTGGAGAGTCCGGTGGTGTGCGGCCTCGAACTGCATCACAGGCGTGCTGGGCACCGGGTAGCGCCCTGGAACCACCTGCGGGCCAGGCTCTGCATGGCCCAGTGCTCCCTCGAGATATGTACACGTATCATGGCACCAACATCGCAGAGCGGACATCGTTCGGAAAACAATGGGATGGGCCCGGATTTTCCTGGAGAGTTTCGTTCTGGATTTCGAAGTAAATTTGGCCAGGAGTGAAGATTACAAAGACCCCGCATGAAATTCACGTCGTTTTTGCATTGACGGAGATCCACGCAAAAATCCGCTGCAGCACGTCTGCAAGGTCGGTGCAATGACACGCAGTCTTCGCTGGCGTTGGAAGCTGTCTGTGCACCATGGGCACAGCCACTGTCTCTTCGTCGACGCCTCCGTAGGCGCAGGCGGTCCATGGGGGCCGCCGGGCCGTGTGGACCACGGACCTCCAGCCGGCATGGCAACCTCGAAGAAGCTCAGCGCAGCCGGTTTCGCCTGTGTGCGCCTGGCTAGGTCCTCCGCCGCCGCCTCGGAGAGCGACCAGGGCCTCCAAGCTTCCAAGACCGTGCGGTGACGGACCGCGCGGTGAGGTCCTCTGTGGGATTTCGAGTTCACAGCCCAGTCCGTCGCCAAACGTTTTTGTTCGGTGCCCCGACGAGGAGAGGATCAGGGTCTGGCTTGACGCGGTCCTGGCATACTACCGCACGGGCCATTACAGCCTCGGCAGGCGCGCAAGGGGGGGGGCGGGGCGAGGCGGTCGGGCTTTCTCTGTGAGGCAGGGGGGCCTCGGAGAGGGGGTCGGCCCCTCGGAGCACATGCGCCGCACGCCTTGCAGATCCCATCCTGCTGTGATCGGCATCACCTTCTCTCGACGCCGATCTCAAGGATCCCCTCAGCATCCGAGGGCGCATCCCAAAAATTGCTGTCGCAGCTGGGCTTGCACGTCTTCGGGATGTGGTCCAGCTCGAGGCCGGTTCTCCAGGGGGCGAGGGCGTCTTCGGAAGGCCGCCCACTGTCGCCCTGCCGCCCCTTGTTGCGCGCAGCCGAGCAGCGCCGAAGAGATCGTCCCCACGCAGAATTACGTCATGGGTAACCACGACCGCGTAGTCCAGACATTCGGAGGGCGTCAGCGATGCACCGACACCGATGCTGTCCAGGCCGGTCCCAGGCCCAGGATCGGCGTCTACGCCCCCAGGCCGAGGGGGATGCACGCCACCGCGGTCAGCGCCACCGCGGCCGCGCCGGTCGCGCCAGACTAACTGGCCGCTCTGCTTGCGAGCCCGCGCGTGGTAGCGCGGCAGCAGCGACGCGCCAGCCAGCGCCAAGCATTCTTCGCAATCGCCGCCGCATGGTTTTTGCACAGCAAGTTACGGGTGGGTGGGCGGGATGATTGCGCGAGCAGTGGAATGGACAACTCATTGCGAACAAACAATAACCCCATGCCCCCGAGAATAAACCCCCAGGGATAATAAAGTTCGGCGGTGTTACGGGGTGATAATAAAAGTTGCCCACCAGAGGCCAGCATAAAGATGTTAACAGAGGAGCCAAAGCCGAGGATATCTTGAGACATCCTTAGCTGTTGGTCCTCTCTGAAACAGCCTCAACAATGGTTTGTTTCGCTTGAGACATCCTCGACAAATCTGTCGTTTCGCTTGAGACATCCTCGAACAAATTGTTTGCTGCGCTTGAGAGATCGTAGACAAACCTCTCTTCTCGCTTGAGGTATCCTCGAACAATTGCTTATTTCGCTTGGGACATCCTCGGGATCGTATTGTTTTTTTGCTAGGGTCTCGCGCACAAGCTCGGAACTGCTGAGACTGCTCGCAGTCAGAGGTTCATAGCCTTGCTGTCGATAATAAACCGCAGCGATGATAAAGTTCAGGGGGCTACGGGGAGAAGGAGAAATATATGGAGAGAGAAATTCAAAGAGAAAGAGAATCATAGAGAGATAGAGAGAGGTGGACAGAGAGAGAGAGAGAGAAAGAGAGAGGTGGAGAGAGAGAGAGAGACAGAGAGAGGGAGAGAGGAGAGGAATAGGAGGAGGTGGGCGAAGGAAAAATCCAAAATTCAAACGTATTAGATTTAATTTGTAAACGCCTAATGGAAATTAACATTTTCATCTGCTCGTGTAGGGTAGCTCATGTGCCTCGTTTTCCCAGGATAATCAACCCCAGCGATAATAAAGTTCAAGGGGCCAGGGGGAGGAGGAGAAAGAGAGACAGAGAGAGAGAGAAAGAGAGCGAGAGAGAGAGAGAAAGAAGGAGAAAGAGAAACAGAGATATATATAATATATAACGTGTTTGCTTCGCTTGATGTTGTTATCTCAACATAAGGAGGAAGTAACCTCGATGGCGAACTTTCCCAGTGATAATGAAGTTCGGCCTCCGCGCCCTCCGCCTATACTTGAAACACTTCTAGGCCGACGATAAAAAAAAACTCTAACGACTTAAGGGGGGGGGGTACATTATTATCGTGGGCATGGGGTTAGTCACATCACATAGCTCGAACCACGTAGATCGCACCGTATATATACCTTCTTGTAAGAGACAATGAATTCCACCACTGTCCCGATGGCGGAGTTTTCCGTTCTTCTTGGGGATCGGCAGCTGTCAATTTACATGCGGTTGTGTCCTATCGTTCGTTCTGAACATGAAATAATTGCATCCCAGCCAAACCGAGTTCGACCCACCCCACCATCCTCTGCGGAGAACGTTGCGCGTACATTCGTGTTTTGAATGTTTTTTGTTGCCCCCACAAACAAATAACATGAGTCTGTTCCCTTGCAATAGACGGGGCGAAATGCACGCGCGCGCGTCGTCGCGCGCGCTTGCCGGCACCAGTATAATCGAGTGCCCCAGAAGCATAGGATACACGTGTTTGTGGAATTTGAATATGCAGAAAAGGTATACGTGCGCGCTCTGGGCGATTTTTTTGATTCTTATTAATTTTTGTGCATGCCAAAACGTGAGTTCTGCAATCTGTTCATCAGGTGCGACCAAACGGGCCTGTCGTGCGCACGTGTCGAAATCATCCGCACGCCCTTGCGCGCGTGCTGAGTTCACGATCCCCGTCAAGTTACACCATGTGGGCTACTGGCGCCCGTGAGCCGCGCGCGCATGTCGAAATCATCCCAAAACCCTCACCGCCGACGTGTGGGCACCATCGTCGTCACAGGCGTGACCAGCATTGGCGCCGTCATCGGCGTTGCCGTCGTCATCGTCGCCGTCGTCACCAGCATCACTACAATCATCATTGTGTGTGCGGTTGTCGACGTCGCCAGTGTACCGCGCCCGCTGGGGGCACCGACTCGCACTAACGTGCCCGAGCGTCAGCGCGGCGTGCAAAACGTCGTGGGAAGTGCCCAGCGGTCAACGCCACCGTGGCCGCGTCGGTTGCGCCAGCGCGCAAGCCTTCGTGCGCAAGCGCGGCTGCAGCGATGCGCTAGCCAGCGCCAAGCAGCCATCGCAATGGCCGCCGCATGGGCTTTGCAACCAAGTTGCGGGTTTGCATGTGGGACGTTTGCACGCGCGTGGGAGGTGGTCACACGTGGAACAGGTTAGTTAAATTGTATTTTCTAAAGAGGGAATCGACTCTCCCCCCCCAGCGTTATCGGTCCTCTTTCAGGTATGTAAATCATGCATGATTCTGACCACATGTCCATCCTAAATATGAAATCGCAATGTCCCAGGCCAGCCGGTATCCCCCCCTGAGGTTCCCTTGTGAAAAAAACACTATGCGGTGACATTTTTGTTCCAACATCGCACTTTTTCACGGATCCCTGGCAAAACATGGGACGAAGTGCGCACGCGCGCGCCGTCGCGCGCGCATGCCGAAATCCTCCAAAAACCTTCGGTGCCGGAGGGATTCCGCAATCGAGTTGCCAAAAACATACAAAAACACATGGTTTCGCATTACGGATTTGCTCAAACACTTCCGCGCGAGCTCTTGCGAAATCTTAAGACAAGCATAGGTTTTTCAAGATTACCCCCAAATTCTATGAAAAGTGGTTCGCGCGCGCATGTCGAAATCTGTCGAACGCCCTTGCGCGTGTGCCGTCGCGAGAATCCCCTGCAAAAAATGGGACGAAGTGCAGACGCGCGCGTCGTCGCGCGCGTATGCCGAAAACCTGCAACACCCATCGGTTTCGGAAGGATTTCAAAATCGTGTGTCAAACAACCTACAAAAACACACGGTTTCGCAACACGGATTTTCAACAAAAGCGTGCGCGCGCGCGCTCTTGCGTCGTCGTCGTCGTCGTCGTCGTCGCCGTCCTCCCTCCTCCCGCGTCGTCGTCGTCGTCGTCGTTCCCTTTGGCGTCGTGGTCGTTTCCGTCGTCGTTGTCGCCGTGGTCGTCCTTCCTCCTCCTCCCTCGTCGTCGTCGTCGTCGTCCGTCGTCGGCGTCTCGTCGTCGTCCCTCCTATTTCGTCGCCGTCGTCGTCGTCGTCGTTGTCGTCGTCGTCGTCTTCCCTCCTCCCTCGTCGTTGTCGTCGTCGGCGTCGCCGTCCTTCCTCCTTCTTCGTCGTTCGCGTCGTCGCCGTCCTCCCTCCTCCCTCGTCGTTGTCGTTGTCGTCGTTGTCGCCGTCGTCGTCTCCTCCTCTCTCGTCGTCGTCTTCGTTGGCGTCGTCGTCGTCGTCTTCGTCGTCGTCGGCGTCGTTGTCGTCGTCGAAGTCGTCGGAGACGTCGTCGGTGTCGTCGTAGTCGTTGTCGTCAGTGTCGTCGTAGTCGGTCTTAACAGGTTTTGCAAACCAAGTTGCGGGTGGGTGGGTGGGATGTTTGCAAGAGCGTGGGATGTGTCAAATCATGGGTCAAAAATCAGTTGCACCACATAGATTGCACCACGCCGAACGCACCACATATATCGTACGGTGTAGGTTGCACCGCGTAGATTGCACCACGCCAGCTGCACCTCATAGATTGCGCACCAGATAGAGTGCAACATAGACTGCACACGATATATTCCACCCCGTAGGCTGCAATACATATGTGGCGTCACATATATTGCTTTAAGCAGTTTGCATAACACATATGGCACAACATAGATTGCACAACATATGCTGCACACTGTCTATTACACCACGTATACTGCACAAGTACAGTGTTCCACATCGATCGCACAATGTCTGCTGCTAGAGACACCGTTCGGCGTCCACGCTGGCTAACATCTCTCTCTGTCTTTCTCTTTGTCTGTGCGCTTGTGCGAATGTGTGTGTGTGTGCGTGTGTGCGTGTGTGCGTGTGTGGTGGGCCAGCCGCGCGCGTTTCCCCGTTTCGGCTTTCTACGCCTCGACCTGGCGCGCGAGGCCGCGACGCCAAGCAATGCGTGTGTGTGTGTGTGTGTGTGTGTGTGTGTGTGTGTGCGCGTGGGTGCGTGAGTGTGTGCGTGCGTGTGTGAGAGAGAGAGAGAGAGAGAATGTTCGTATGTGTTTGTGTGTGTGTGTGAGAGTGTGTGTGTGTGTGCGTGTGCGTTTGTAGTGCGTGTGGCTGGCGTCCTCCTGGACATGTCCCGTTGCCTGGCTCGTGACCCTGATCCTGAAGCTGGAATCCAACCTGGAGCGAGGGCGCCAGGGCCTGACGTGCGCGCGGGTCCACGCCGCGGGGTGCCTTCGCGACGCGCGGGGGTACTGGAAGGGCATCTACGCGGACGCCAGGATGCAGCTCGCGGGCGCCGGGCGCGGACCCACGTCGTTCGGCAGCAAATCATGGGAGCCTGGCATGCCTTCGTCATCCCGTCTTCAGAGCGCATCGGCGTTCGTTCGCGTCGGGTGAGCGATTTGACGTCGAACAGCACGGATTTAGCGTCGACTGGCGTCGATTCGTGTCGGATAGCGCCGATTTGCGAGAGCCAGCAGGACGGTGCGGGAGTCTCCCGTGAGTTCCTGCCGACACGTCGGCAGGCCCGCAAGCCGACACGGCCAGCAGTGCTTCGGGTGCCCCCTTTACCGAGAGAGGAGACGTAAGCCTCGAATTCGCTGGAGCTCGGGTTTGCCTACGCTTTTTGACTCGCCCGTCCTGGACTTTGACCGCCCAGTGTTCGTGAGATATTTGCAGCGGGCGCTCGCGTCGAATTTTCCAGAGTGGGTCTCAGGATTTTCCTGACGCCCCAGTGGGGTCAACCCGAGTCCCCAGATCCCGAGTTTTATGCCTGAGGGCGAGCCCCGACCTGGGCTTTGGCATCGCTCGGGCGTGGTTTTTCTTTTTTTCGGCAAGAACCATCGATGATTATGATGTTCCAACCTACTTTAGCCTTGATCACCATAACAATTTCGGGCACCAAGAAAGTACCGAAACTTGGGGTTTTTCACGTGTCGGGCCCTGGGAGGCGATCCTCGTTCGACACTGTTTCGATACTATTCTGGGTGCTCGAAATTATTTCTGGGATGTGGTCCTTAAGTACGTTGGGAGCAACATGAATCTAGGCCTCCCAGATAGGGTCCGAGTAAATGGGGTCGGAGGATCGCGCCGCATCGCCGATGCATCGGCGATGCAGCTCGATGCGGAGCCGATTTCCTCCACGCCGGCGGCGCCGATGCACCGCCGATGTCGCATGGGCGTCACCAATGCATCGCCGATGCATCGCCGATGCGGCGTGATCCTCCGACTCCATCTACTCCGATCCCATTTAGGAGGCATCTATTTGAGGACATCTGCACAGGTTCACTCGACACTGGTATGCGAGTGTGCCTGTGCGGTTCCCGGCAGGTTTTCCTCACCGACGTTCGTTTCGCCATTTGCATTCGATTGTTTTTGGACGTCGATTCGTGATCCCGCTGGATTTCACTCCGAATGTGGTGTGCGATGCCGTGCGCAAGTGGAGTGCCCCTGGCAGCTTTCACTAACGGGCGTTCAGTTAAAGGGTGTTTGTTCTGTCTATCCTCGAGAGCACATCATTGTGTGCCCTCGCCCGCACGACCCATCAGGTCTTTGGTGTTCAGCCCAGGTTGTTTGCCACCTGAGGGGGCCAACTGTTACCACAAGCGCCGAGATCGTTTGTCGGCCTCCTTCGATGGAGGCGGCCCCCGATCTTGACCGCGGTGGTGTCAACTTGTAGGCCTCCTGCCCAGAGCTCCTGGACTTGCTCGTGAAGGGCGAGGAGCGAGTCGCAGCTGGCTTCAGAAGGACGCTGTCGAGCGACGAGCTGTGAAGCGCTGGGAGGTGCAAGCGTGCACGGGCTCTGTGTGTCATCATCAGCTCTGTCGCCTGAGACTCCCGAGCGTCGGAGACTGCCGACGCCGCACTTCCTTGCATTTCCCCTGCGGTCTGCTTCGCCCCACTTGTCCCGCTCCTCCCGATCCCTCTCTCCCGATCCGTCCCTCCTCACTCCTGCCTCTCCACTGCCCTCCTGCTGCTCGTCCTCGTTCTTTTTAGATTCTGTAGCCGTTTTGGATCAGGGTCGCCGCTTCAGGCGACACGGTTTTCTGGCCCTTTGCTGTCTGCTACGCTACAGCGTAGCATCGTCACCCGCCCGCATCCCATGGTCCGTAAGCCGATCGTCGGTGGCAACTGGAAGTGCAACCCGGACTCGGTGTCCAAGCTGGATGGTCTGATCAAAAACATCAACGACTGCGACACCAAGGGCTGCGACGTCTACGTGTGCCCCTCACCCCTGCACGTGTTCTACTGCAGCGACAAGTTCACGAACGGCGCAATGGTCACTCCCCAGAACTGCAACTTCAAGGGCTGCGGCGCCTTCACGGGCGAGATGGCCGTGGAGCAGATGAAGGACATGGGCCTCAAGTGTGTGCTGATGGGCCACTCGGAGCGCCGTGGTGAGTTTGGCATCTTCCCGATGGACGACAACTCCACCCTGGCGACGAAGCTCAAGTACGCGCTCGACGCAGGCCTGCAGGTGGTCTACTGCATCGGCGAGCCGCTGGCCATCCGGGAGAAGGGCCTCGACGCCGTCATCGCCGAGATGGACGTGCAGCTCACGCAGATCTACGGCCTCCTCGACCCCGCGAAGGTGGTGATCGCCTACGAGCCCGTCTGGGCTATCGGCACCGGCGTCACCGCCAGCCCCCAGGACGCGCAGGACACGCACGCCGGCATCCGCAAGCTCATCGCCGAGAAGGCGTCCCCGGAGGTCGCCGAGGGCATTCGCATCCAGTACGGCGGCTCCGCGAACGCCAAGAACGCCCCAGAGCTCTCGGCGATGCCGGACATCGACGGCTTCTTGGTCGGCGGCGCCTCGCTGAAGCCCGAGTTCGTTGAGATCGTGGCCGCCATCAGCAAGGCCAAGGCCGCCTGAGCGGCGTTTTCCCGTGGAGCATGGGGCGATAGCCTTAAGTCGGGCGTGTCCCTCTACAGGAGGAACATTCGAACATAGTGTAAATTTACGTTTATGTGTATATATATGTATTATAAACACATTTTTTTTTTTTTTTTTTTTTTTGTAATTTTTCGCTCAAGATCCGCCTGGAGGAGGACATGCCCTACCTAACGATAGCCCCAGACGCCCGACGAGGTGTGCTTCTTTCCCACCCGCGGCCCCAGGGCTCGCGGCCCCTGCCTTGGCTCCCAGCCCCTTCCTTGGCGGCAGTCCTTCGAGCCCGATCCCGTGCTTGACAGCCCCTGGGAGCCCGAAACCGGCCCCTGGGCTTAAGTCGGGCGTGTCCCTCTACAGGAGGAGTATTCAAAATAGTCAAAAGACAGCCTGGGGACTATTTTTCTAGTTATCTTGATTATTATTTGAATTTGTTTTGAACATTGTTTATTTTTCGTCCAAAATCCGCCTGTAGGGGGACACGCCCGACCTAACCCTGGGCGGGGAAACAACGGGGACGAAGGCGGGGAGAGACAAAATCACGGCGTCGGAGGTCTGGAGTGCTCTATGCTGGAGCAGTGGGTCTGGCGCAGATGGGTCCGCTGCGAGAGGCACAGTCGTCCATGAATGGTGCGCCCTATTGCGCATGAGGACATCGACCAGTGCGCCACGCGCAGTTCTGGACTCCAGTGAGCAACTCCGCGCCAGACCCACTCCTCCTGCTTCAAAAGGTCCGGCCAGCTCCCAGTTTTAGTCGCGCGGGCGCGGCCCGATGGGCAGTGGCGGGGACGGCCGGGGAGCTGGAAGAGAGCTCTCTTCTCTGGCCCCCTCTTCGGTGCCGCACCGGCTCGCACCCCGTGCCCTCGTGCAGGAAAAGAAAGGGGGAGGGAGCCGCGGAGGGTTTCTCCGAAGGGCTGAGGTGACCCGTCCTCCTCCTCCTCCTCCTCCTCCTCCCTTCTCCTCCTCCTCCTCCTCCTCCTCCTCCTCCCTTCTCCTCCTCCTCCCCCTCCTCCTCCTCCTCCTCCTCCTCCTCCACCTCTTCCTCCATCTCCTCCATCTCCTTCATCTCCTCCTCCCACTCCTCCCCCTCCCCCTCCGCCTCCTCCTCCTCCTTTCCTCCTCCTCCTCCTCCTTCCTCCATCTCCTCCATCTCCTTCATCTCCTCCTCCCACTCCTCCTCCCCCTCCCCCTCCGCCTCCTCCTCCTCCTCCTCCTCCTCCTCCTCCTCCTCCTCCTCCTCCTCCTCCTCCCCTTCCTCCTCCTCCTCCTCCTCCTCCTCCTCCTCCTCCTTCTCCTCCTCGGGTGGCCTACGACCGTGCACGGAGCCTGTCTCTGTTGAAGTCCGACGGCGCGATCACATTGCAGCATGGTGACAGGTCACAACCGTACGCAGAAGGCATCTGTACACCACCACCGCGCCAAGCCAGGGCCAGCCTGGCCCTGGCATGGTGTGTACGCCTTCCTGGCCGAGGCCAGGAGGCTCTGCTCACCTGCCTAATTACCAGGATGGCCCTGGCCTGGCACGGTGGTGGTGTGCTGCCGCCTTCGTCGGAAGCCAGAGCCGCGGACCCCCAGCTCTCTGCGGCATTCTTCGAGCCGCGGACCCGAGGTGCGAGGGCCCCAGGGCCCGAATCTGTGCGGGCTCGCCCGGCCCGAAGGAGCTTGCGACGCCAGGATCCGAGGGTCCTGCCTGGTCCTCCGCCCGCCCCCCCTTCCCCCCCCTCCTTGCTGCCTCGCCCTCTGACCCTGGCAGGGCCGCAAACGATCGGAGTCGATGCGAGTCGATTCGCCAGCCAGGGCCGCGCTTTTCCGAGTCGGTTCGGTTCGTGCCGCTGCACTGGCACCGATCGAGGCCAGCCTGAGCCAGGCGCGGCGATCCGATTTCCATGTTCGATTCTGGATGCTTTGCTGGCGGTCCCGTCCGTTCCCGATCCGATCCGCCCTCGCGGTTCGATCTGGCGCACTGCTCTGCCTGGCGTGGCCTGGCGCCTGCCGCGCGTGCCGCTTTGCTCGCCCGCTCACGCGCCTCCAGGTAAACTCGAGTCGGGCCGGTCCTTCCCTCTACAGGAGGAATATTCAACAATGGTCAAACAAATAGTCAGGGGGCGATTTTTTTGACTATTTTGGAGTATTCGTGACATTTGTTTGGGTATTTTTGTTTTTCTTTCAACATCCGCCTGCAGTGGGGCACGCCCGACCTAAAGGTAAACCAGGAACAGAGATATCCAGGCACATCTGGAAGAATCTTCAGGCATCCCAGAGGGAGTCCGACGAGGTAGATGGGGGCGGAGGGTCGCGCGGCATTGCCGATGCATCGGCGATGCGGCTCGATGTGGAGCCCGGCATCCTCTACGACGACGCACCCGATGCAACACCGGCGTCGCCGATGCATCGCCGATGCATCGGTGATGCACTGGCAACGCGGCGTGGTCCTGCGACGCCATCTACTCTGATCCCATATGAGAGAAGAAAAACAACGAGTTCGATTGCGCTGACATTGGCGCGTAAGCTGCACGCGTTTGCCGTGCTTAAGCGCCCTCGTCTCCAATGCAGCGTGCCGCGCGGGCGGCCCGCGTAAGCCACCGCGAAAGGTCGCTCTGTCATCTCGCCGAAGACCCCTTTCTTTTCGTCGCCCATCTGGGAGGTCTCTACATATCAATCTACACCGCCGCGCTTGGGCGGGCGGGAGGGGGGGTGGACGCCTTGGGTGCGGGGGGAGGGGGAGATGCCATGGACCCCCCCTCCTCGGACTCTGTATTTGGGACCACCCTACCTTCTGCCTGGAGGGCCAGACGCGCGGGACCGGGCCACGGGAGTGAGATCCGGGCATGCCTGGGCCAGAGCTTGGAGGCTCCCGCGCGCGTCGAGGATGATCTTCTCAGACTCGATGCTGCCCACACGAGCCCCGACCATGCTGTATAGTTCCCCAATCAGTGCTAGCACTGAAGAGGTCGTTCGGCGGTACCCCAGCATACTAATACTATATGTGCGTCGCCCCCCCAGGGGCGACGCGCGCACCGAGAAATCTTATAGCATATGCGTCGTGGTGGGCGCTTTCTGGCCACACCGCTCGGGAAACGATAAACTACAAAACGGAGAGATTACATGTTCGGGTCGGACGCGCGCCTCCGAGGAGGACATACAGTACTAGTATGTCTTTGTGCGCCCCAGTCCTAGCGGATATTGAAAGATATGGCGAACGTCCCGGGCCGATCTCGGTATAGCAGGCTGGGCTCCCGGGTTCCCAGTCCCGGGTGCCCGGGTTCCCGGTGGCTGCTTCTTGGCGGACATCGGGATCCTACGGCCGAGCTCGCCGTCGCTCTCATCTTCGATCTCCCCACCCACTGGTTGGGGTTTTCCTCCGGCGTAGAACCGTCAGCGGGGGGCGCTCCGGCCTTGCCCGGCAGCGCCCTCGCGGCGCTCCGCGCAGGCCGCGGCTCGCGGCTCGCGGCTCCCCCGCGCGGGCTGAGGGGCAGCAGCACCCGTCGGGCCCCCCCCCTTCTCTCTCTTGCAGGCGACTGTTCCTCCCCAAGCCTCAGACTTTCGACGAGACGAGAGTGGGGGAACGAAGAATGACATAAACAGAAACACTCGGAGGTCCGCGCGGATTTCTCGGATCCCCGCTGGATCCCATCCCTGGCGCGCGGAGCGCGCCAGGGGCGGCGCCGGAAACGCCGCCGGGGGGTCCCAGCGCGGATCCGAAAAATCCGCGCGGACCTCAGAGTTTTTGTGTTTATGTCATTCTTCGTTCCCCTAGTGAGACCGCTCCGACAAGGAGGGAAGCCCTGGGATGTACCCCCAGGGGGCTCTGCGGACGCGCCCCCGTCGAGGATGTGGACGCCCCCCCTCCCCCCCCCCTCGTGTGTCCCAGGGTGGGGCCCCCAATGTTTGGCGCATTCGAAAACCTCGCCCGTGCCCGCCGTGCCCTCGTGCTCCCCCGCTGGCGGTCAAGTGCGCCAGCGGGCTCTGCGCTCCGCTCCCCCCTCCTCGCGCCAGCCTCCACTCGCAGGAAGGCCCGTGCAGACAGACGGCGCGGGCCGCTGCCCGGCTCTCCGAGGGGTCCCCTCGCCGCCGCGCCCCGCCCCGCCCTTTCCCGCCCCTCGGCAGCGCCCCCTCGCCGCCCGCCGCCCCCTCTCGGAAGCCAGGCGAAGGCTGGCAAGCCCGCGGCTGCTAAAACGGAGCTCCGGGAGAATGTTTTTTTGCTCTTCCGGGGAGCGGCCCGTGTATTATTGTTTAGTGCGCCGAGTTTTTGTTCTGGTAGTTTGTTTATTTAATCGCTTCGCTCATTCCGCCGGCCCGTATTGTGCCATCGCAGGCGTTTGCTTGCGCGTTCGTGGCCTCTTGGAGCCTCTTGGGGCCGTTTGGGGCCTCTTGGCGCCTCTTTTTAGGCTTCTTGGAGAACTCGGGAGGCCTGGTAGTTTGTTTATTTCCTTCCGGGGAGACCGTTTCAGCAGCCACGGATTTGCCAGCCCACGCCCAGCTTCCGACCCTCCCCCTCGGCTCCCGGAGGCGCACCCCTGCGCGGAGGGCGCGGAGGGCCGCCGCCGGCGCAAGAAGGCGAACGCGGCGGACCGCAAGCGGCGCGCGGTGGAGGAGCTGCTGGAGGCGAGCCTCTGTGGGCGGCGAGCCCCGGGAGGGAAGTTCCTCAGAGGAGGAAAAGGTACTCGTGCCTCTCCCCTCCCCTCGTTCTCCTTCTTTTGGGCATCCTGGGCCTCAGTCGTCGCCACACCTTCTGGGTGACCCACAGGGAGGTCCAGCCGAAAGGGGGTGCTGCAACAGATTTGGGGCAACTGTATTGCAAATGTATTGCGCCGGAGAATTGTGTTGCACGCGCAAGTCCAGCAATAGATTTGCCCCCGGGAACGTATTGCACGCCCCAAATGTGTTGCAGTCCCACGGATCTTTTGCACCACATCCATTGCACCGCCCTCTCTTGTCGCTGGACCCCCTTCTGGGTCAACCCGAACACCGCTGGATTCGCCTCGAGATCCCGGTCGGAGCGCGCCCCCTGGGAGAGTTCCGGGGAGTGGCGGCATCGGTGCCTGCTGGTGCCTTCTGGTGCCCCTCGGTTCCGAGAGTCTCGCCGAGACCCGCCCCGGCGGCGAGCCTTGGCCTAGGCCTCCTAGATGTGGTCGGAGTGGGTGGGGTCAGAGGATCACGCCGCATCGGCGATGCATCAGCGATGCGGCTCGATGTGGGGCCCAATTTTCTCCACGGCGGCGTCGCCGATGTTCCGCCGAAGCCGCCGATGCATCGCCGGTGCATCGCCGACGCATCGGCGATGCATCGGCGATGCGGCGTGCCCCTCGGACCTTCATTTACTCCGACCCGATCTAG